ACAGCAAACACGTGGGTGGATGTTTAGATCCCAGAGAAAGTAACTGTAAATACAGAACCTTCCCTGGGAGGTCCCCTCACCACGTACACTCAAATTCTGATTGCAGTGTTTTGTAATATGAATATAATGTGATCAAATTTTCTTATTGCCAAACATTCTCTACACTCTCTAACATGTCACGATTTTTTAACCTAATAGGTAAAATTTAGGCGAGGTGTAAACGAAATAGTGGTAATTTACATGTGTTTTAACTGTCATTTTAGGCACACTTACCATCTGCCAGTTAAGAATTTAGACAACACATTTTACTCTCAAACAAAGTGCATTTTCTAATCATATCTTACATGTATTTGAAATAACAAAAGAAAAAACTTAAGAAATAATAACTATTTTTGAAAATGTAATTTCTATCCAAAAAATTTTGCCAATAGTGCAGAAAATGAGACTTTTAGTTAATGTCTAACCACACACATTTTTTTATAATATTTTGTTTGTGCATGTACTGTAGGTCTCTATCAAACATTTTTATGTAATTCAATAGTACTCATGATGTTTAACTTGCATCTTATTACTATGTAAGCCATGGTATTCAGAATTATTTTTCTCTAAATTTATCAAACTACAGGATATTTCACCTCAGGAAAGAAAGTACCCAAGATAAGATATTGGAACAACATACCCTACTTGTTGTTGCTACTTCTGCTTATCTCATGGTCTTTAAACAACTGTGGTGGTGGATTCAGTGCATGTGAACCATTTCTTAGTTGTTTATTTTAGGATAAAACATTAAGAATTTACAGGTCACAAAAAAATGGGAAGGCATACTTTAAACATTAACTGTGTTGAAGTACAATTCTAATGCAGTATTTAATATTTAAAGGCAGAGCCAAATACAAAACTTGAGTAAAGTAATAAGGTGGGATGCAAAGGTTGAATCCATTTTCCTTAATTTCCAGCTTCTAAAACGTTCTTTAATTCTTGTTTCTATGGGACGTCCTGTTTTACCTATTTATACACTATTGCAATCTTGACATGTTATTCAAACTATACATCAATTTGATCTGGTAAAAAACTGCTAAATTTTACATATCTGTAAAAAAGGTAAAAAACTAAATAGCCTGGAAAATTTACAAATAAATACAAGTCTAAAATAAATCCAGAAAAACTTCTAAATGACCAAACCAACTAAGCTCTTCCCCACTTCTCACACCACTTGTCTCAGGGTGAATGGCAAGGTTACTTTCAGTCCTTTGGTTACACATATATAAACCTGTTCGCAAACCATTTCAGTCTGTACCTGACGATGCCCTTACTGTCAAAACCATGGTCATTAATAAATGATGTATTTGTGAAATGTATAATTGTCTTTGTTTTTTCCTCAATTCTGTAATTATGGAGTTTCACCAAGTACCAAAGGTTTCAAGTATCAATTATACAATACAATTATTTATTAAAAGGCATAAATTGTTCATTCTACATGTTTCGGTGAGAGTATGTTCTTGCCATCATGAGGATATAAACAAAAAACAAATATTACATTGTTCTAATAAGTCATTTTATCATGCTTAAAAAAATGGTTGTGCAATTTGCATAGGTGAAATAAACCATCATGTTTTTTTTACAGCAATGTTTAATGGTGATAAAATTAACTTAACTGTATGTAGGAAAACATGGCTGTTACTTGCTATCAAATTTTCTTACATGCATTTTATCTCATGCAGCCTGTTGCATATAATTAGCTACTTTTATAACACATGATGACTCCGTGCTGATCAAATGTATACAGGAAGAGCTCAGCCAGACTGAGATGATTGAACACAGTCTCACTCATATATGTAGATCAAAATTGAAAGTAAAAGTGAGTCCACAAGATTACTAATTGCGTTCAATAATGAAAAACTTGAATTATTCTCTCTAGGTTTAAATAGAAGTATTACTTGACTTCTAACAGGCAGATGAATACCAGAAATCAAGTACACACAGAGTCAATCATAAATCTACAAATACAACACGAGTGATACAGAGATATAACATAGAATCAAATTTCAGCTTCGGCTCAGATTTATTTGTTGAAAGAACAAAAAAATGTAGTGAAGGAGAGAAGTATCAGAGATGTCACAAATTAATGTGTATTTCTCTTCAAATAATGTAATAAGTCTAATAAAAGCCATACATATATGTATATATATATATATATATATAAAATTCACCCTAATATTCATCCTTATTTAGCTTCCCAACAACCACTTTGATTTTAAAATTAGCAAAACAGTGCAACCAATAGAAGTAAGAATTATTAAATTAAAGAGCAACAATTACATGCACATCTGGGATGTTGTAGCTTTAAGCACTTGAATAATTACTCCTTATTAAATTTTATTTTTCAATTTTGGCTGTTTTTTCTATATATATAACTTGAAATATATTTGGAGATGACATATCTTTAATTTTTTCCAGTTTAATATAATTACCCTCTTTTCCTCAAGCATATTTCCTTATTATAAAATTAAGTACAATAGCAATTACATGTACAGTATTTACAAACAATTCTTTCTGAACTTTAGTTTCTACAGAAAATTCTGTAAATTTCCATTATCAATACATTTTTTTTTATTTATCTCATTAAGGGTTAAATCAGATTTCCTGCTAATCCTTAGGTCTACCTTGTATCAGAAGTCTTCTGATGTGAGCAAAGATGCACCATACCTGTAAATAAAACACAGTTACAACAATGACTGCAAACTATTGTCTAACCAAATCTTAAGCTAGTTCTCTTAGACCATCACAAGTAGTTTCAGCTACTAGAGTTGCAATATTCACTGTTAACATTCCTCTTGTTTCGAAACTATGATGTATATGTATATCAATTTTGTTTCAAAGAACATTCAAAATAGCTCTTGTTAGTTATAAACATCCATATAAATGCTTCTTAATTTTTTCAAAATCTTTTAGCTAAAATCCTTGTGACAATCTGTTTTTCTGTAGTTTTATGAATTATGATATTTCACAGAAGGGCACTTTAACAAGAAGAATGAAAGTCACTGTCCTTCACTCATCTGATATTCAAAATTACTATGTGGAGGTGGATACTCTTCACTTCTCTGATATTCAAAATCACTGTATGGAGGTGAATACCCTTCACTTCTCTGATATTCAAAATCACTGTATGGAGGTGGATACAACTTCACTCACCTGATATTGAAAATAACTGTGGAAGTAGAAACAAATGCAAGATAATGTATGTGGGATATCATAATTTGAATTATGAGTATAATGTTTATGGGAATAACCCTAACAGTGTTATAAAAGAAACATCTCTCTAACATCTGTTCTAACATTTCTCTTAAGCCATCCAAGCAATGTGCTGTTCCCAGAGGCAGGGCAAATAAAATTTTAGGTTGTATCTAAAGAAAAAAAATATTACAAAGCTAAAGAGATTATGATTTCACTGTATAGGTCATTGGTTAGGCCAAATTTTGAGTATTGTGTTCAGTCTTGGTCTCCTTACCTTAAGAAGAACATTGAATTGTTGGAAAGGGTTCGGAGGAGTGCTACTTTGGATGATAAATGGGATGGAGAGTTTGTCATACAAGTACTGGTTAAGATCTCTAAAATTGTTTTCACTTGAGAGAACGAAGAGTTAGGGGGGATCTAATTGAGGTGTTTAAAAGGCTGTAAAGATAATTGATAGTGTTGATGTATCATCTTTTTTATACTTAATAGTGAGAATAGAAGGACTAGGAGACACAAATATAAATTTTGGCAAGGTAGGAGTAATCTTCAGCTAAGACAGTTTATTATTCTAATAGGATGGTTGACTTTTGGAATGGACTGCCTTCAGATGTAGTGGATGCAGTAAATTTAAGGAAGTTTAACAAAAGGCTTGATAAATATTTGAATGATAAGGGCTGGCTTTGGATTTTCTTTGATTTTTTTTTGTGGATGGGACTGCCTAGATAGACTAATAGGTTCTTGTTGTCTATACATTTTATGTTATGTTATAAAATTCACATTATACCTAAAATCACTATATAGATGTGGATACCCTTTACTCACTTTATAACTACAATTACTATGAGAAGGTGAATACTAATATTGCCAAGTCTCAAGAGAAAAATAAGTGGCATTGCCATTCAAAACAAGCAGCACTGACTTTCAAAACTGCTTTTTTATGGCTTACTCTCAAAAGTTAACATTTTCTTAAACTGAAAATGTGTTTCTGATAGATACTTACCTTCTCTCAAAAAAAGCTTTCTCGACTTATACTGCCCTCTATAGGTGCAAATTTTTTCTCCCACTAACTTCTACATACTAACATGCAAATGCAGCAACCCTCCACCAATAGAAGTGTGATGCTACCCCTATCATAACTAGCACCCTCTCTAATCTTGCAGCTGTTAACCACATTGAAATTGGTCAGATCACACCAAACCACACTGGAAGTGGGGAGGATGGGTGGGAAATGTGAGATGAGGTAAGTATCTGTCGGGAATACATTTTCAGTTTTTAGAAAAAATTTGAACTTCCGATATGATATCTTACTTCTGCTTTCAAAAAGCTAGAATCCTACACTGAATAGGTAGAGGGCCGGTGAAAAGATTATCCCCTTTGAGGAAGCATCTAAAGGAAAACCATGGGGTGTGAGAAGTAACTAAAAACAACACACCCGTGGGAGACCACACCACATCTGAACCAGGTATACTCTTTTCCCATTAATAATGTGTCACTAAATGGGTGGAAACAAAGGAGGGACCCCAAGAACAGTTACAGAAATAACGAGACCCCATTGTAGAGTGGCTAGGGCATGACAGATCATAAAGGGGAGTTCGACCTCAACCAACACATAGTGGCATCTGGAATTGTACATCAGGACCGCAGTAGGAAGAGGGTCCTCTACCTTTCACTGCAAGAATGGGTACTGGCAAAGAAGAGGAGCTTCACACCAAGAAGCTACCTCTGCAGGCATGCTCCTTCAATACAACCAACACCAGATCCACCAGGAACTGACATCCAGCAATTGGCAGGAAGTTGGAGGGAACAGGTGAGTGTTCATCCTCAGTCTGAAACATGGCAGCATTAGGAGTTTCTTGGCCAGTCCATGGTAGGAGAATGGTAACCTAACTTACACCTGTGGGAATTCATGTATCTCATCCAGCTACAACCAACACCACATCCACCGGGAACCTACATCCAGTGGAAGGTAGGAAGAGGGACGGCTATATGGTGTGCTTCTTCAGTCCAAAACCTTATGGCATTGGGAATTTATCGTCCAGTCTGCATTAGGAGGAGGGTAACCATCCAAACACATGTGAGGACTTATGTGGCTGGTCTGGCTACACATAACACCCAATCCCCAGGAACAAATATCTGGCAAATGGTAGGAAGGAGGGTGCCTCAGCCGGAAGGGCAAACTCTAATATATGTCAAAGTGCTACATTCAACACCTGGCAGCATCTGGAATTATACATCAGGTCCATGGCAGAAAGAGCGTCACACCATGTACACCAGCAGAATGCCACTGCCCTAGTCTCAACTGAGTGTCATTTTGCACACTCAGGAGGACAGGTCTCCATAGCCACCACCCCAGTGGCTAGGAACTGGTAAGTGGCAAGCACTCCCATAGTCCACTAGAAGGAGGAGGGAAAAAGTGTGTTGGAGATTCTGGAGTACCACAGTATTGGAGACAGTGCAATGGGTGACCGCGATACCCTATTTTGAAAAGCAGAGCAATTACATTGATGGAGTCGATCAACTAACACCTGGAGGTGTCTGGAATTGTACATCAGGTCCACAGTAGGAAGAGCCTTAAATGCCAAAGATCATCAGATATAGGCAGTAATTCCTGTCTGCTTTACTCACGTTAATCCAGGAGTATACAGTCCTGAACTAACATATTAATAAAGCAAAAGACCATGAGGAAATACCTACGAGCAGTCCTGCAGAACACCCCATCTCAACAGTTGGTGTATTATGATCTGGATATGTGTTACAACATTGTATTTTGAAAGCATAGAGAACATGTTGACAGAGACGATCAACCAACACCTGGTGGGCATCTGGAATTGTACATCAGGTCTGTAGTAGGAAGAACCTCACCTAGCATGGTATATGACCACAGGTCATACAGTGCAGGTTTAAGACTAAGTATACTGGGTCAGGCAATTCACCATAGAGCAATAAAGAATCCTGCAAAAACAAATGAAAAAACAATGAACAGAGTACTTACCACCTACAAATAAACAGTTACAGCACTGATGGTGTCTCCAAGGAAAGATGGAAATGTGCAGCCAGGGACATGGTAAGGTGATGGATCTGGTAGGAAAAAAACATGAAAAAGGTGACAATCATTGGGAGAAAGCGAAAAAAAATGCCAGGCGAATTAACTGGCAAATACGACCAGGAAGGGTAATGGGATAGATGAAAATTTCATGGAAGTGTCACATACCATCGAAGAGGTGGGAAATGGAGGGAAAAGAAAAAGACATAAAGCTAAAAGTACCCTCTCAAACAGTCGACATCTTAGCCATAAAGGAATGACCAAGAAAGAGGAGAACATAGGAACTAGGAAAATAAAAATGTAGAAAATATCAATTGCAAACCCATCAGAATGACAAGGTTCACACACCAACAAGAGCAGGAACAGTGACTTCAAAAAAGGTGATATAATGAACATGAAGAGAAAAGTTCAAATGAAAGACAAGGAAGAGCATGAAGAACCACACAGAGGTGCTAACGAGGAAGAAAAGCAGGGTGGGGAGGATGAGAAAAGCAGAAGGAATGAAACATGGATAAGACTGGCAACTGGAAAATACAAGCAAAGTCAGTAAACTAAAAAGTGGCAGATAACACCACCCTATAGCCCACAACAGAGGACACTGAAAGGCCCTGTTCAAAAAGCCAAGGCAAAAAGGATGGTACATGAGGAACCGCAGGATGGGAAGGATGAAAACCACTTAGAACAGACCAAAAGCAGTATGTGTAATGTATGTTAGAAAACAGCCATGAAATAAAAATGAGCAGGATTGGAAATGAAAAAAACTAAACACGAAAGTCCAGCCCTTCAGATGAGGGACCAGACAAAGCTACACATGAAGATGGAGTGCAGGTATAGACAGATCAGATGGAGGAGTATCAGAGATAAAGGAAGAGAAAAGAGAGGTGACACCAAACTGATGCAGCAGTGGAAACCACACGAGAGCCGGCCAATATGTAACCACCAGCAGAATAGAGTGGTCTGAAGTATTGTAAGGACAGGTGGGAGGAGATGATTAGAAGGATATACATATAGGTACCAACCCAACCAATCCTGACTGAGAGTGTCAACTGCTTCCACTAGAGGATGAAGAACAGGAAACCAAAACTGGGGAAGTGGTATACTGAGAAAATTGGCAAAAACATCCAAATCTGGGATACCCCACAGAGCACACAACACCCGAAAAATGGGAGAATCTGTAGGGAGGGGATAACCGATCTGTGACCAGATTCAGGGCACTCAGATTTTGACACGCCAACAAAGTATGGCTGTGAGAAAAGACAGCTCTATTTTGACAAGCCAACCCACCAGAACAGTGTCCTGGAGAAGAAACTGAGGATGTAGGACTGAGCAGCCTTGTGAGGAGGCAAGAAGCAGTCAGACATCCATATAATGGTGGAAACATAGGCCCCTGGAATGAATGAGGTGGGCAAAAAACTGGATCCCAAGGTGGAGGGAAGAAAATGGGATTGTGAGACAACGGGAGAGATGATTGGAAGTAGAGGACCAGACTTACTGAAACGACTTTCAGACCAATGGATCAACTACCAAGGACCTCAAAAAGTTGGCAAATTGAAGGCGTCTGGCCCCTACCAGCCCTGACCTGTGAAGGGTGGTCAGAGTAAGACAAATATGAGAAAAGGTAATCTAATTATTGGAGTCTGATTCACACTAAGGGAAAAGTTACACGACACTAAATGCCGTAAGTAATAATAAAGGAAGTTGAAACAATGATCATCAACAGCATGATCATCCACAGTATGTAGAGGTTGAGGCATACCAACCCCTGAATGCATATGCTTCCCAAAACAAGTTGCATGAACCCAAATATCTGGGTAAGGAGGAAATACTAAATAATGATCCAAAGGCTAGAACCTGAGAAGGGCAGGGGGTGGAACATAATAAATGGGAGATAAGGACAGAACATCAAATTGAGCAAAGGGGAAAGATGTTTGGGCAAGTCCACTGAAACTACATGCAACTGAGAGGCACATTCAGGAGGGGAAAATGACTGTCCAAATCCAAAACTTCCCAATCACTGAAAATCGTGACAGGACAATCATCAGTGTGTACTTAAAAATAAAAGTTCCTTAAATATTGTCAGATTTTTTGTTGTATATATATATTTCTAATTATATCAAATTTCTTTTGAGATGATTTCATTATCCTTTAATCCTTATTGACAGAAATCTCAAAATGGGCACTGAACATAAGGAACAGAAAAGGTGAAAGTTTGTAACACTTCACCAAGTAGCTCTTGTAAGTCCAAATACAAGTTGCTTCTGCTAATTATATCAAAGTCTTCTGAATATTTTATTAAAAGTTTGATTGATAGGCATTTGTTTTCAAATTTTCCTTATTTGTCTTTAACAAATAAGTAAAGTTCTAGGGCCTTCAAAACAGAAAACTGACAACTCATCATTTTCAGTATTTTGAACCTCTCTGTAAATCAGGAATATTCCACCCAACAATAAACAATCTTTGTTGTTAATAATACCTCAAAAATTGCCTTGATAATTGTATGTATTTCACAAAAGGAGTTAAAATACCAACAGAAGTATTATTAGTATGGTTAGAATAATAATATAATAACCACAAAGACATTACATAGAATTTACAAGCAGAAAACATTCAATACTTTAATATTATTATTTTTTGAATAAAATACAAAGACAAGTAATGCAAGACTAAAGGTTAAAAAAAGAACATCTTACTTCAACACTCATTGCTAATGCTCGACCAACCAAAAGGAAACCCAAGACAATGTACTGTAACTTGACAAAGACACCAATCAGGGCTTCTGCTAAGATTCTTCTCTGTATTACATACAGCCATACAGGTAAAAAGTGTAGGCCTGCAATAGCAAACATTCCAGGAGGGGTTCTGCAACCTAGAGATAATGAAAACATATGGAATAATAATTTTCTTTCATTACAATGAGCAATACAATATTAGAAAGTATTGAGCATATCCTTGGAACAGACTGCCACAAAAAAAATATCACATAGAAAATTGATTTTCTTTCAAACCACAAACACTGTTATTAAATTGATGTTAGCATGTCTTCAATATAACATTGTTTTTTTCTTTTTTAGCTTTAAGCATAAAGTGTTATTTAAGAATGGCAAATGAGTGAATAACAGTTCTAACTTTATCTCCACCTTGGAAAACAAGTAGTAGAGTTCATATTCAAAAATTAAGTTTAAATTTTACAGTAAATAAACAATATTGTAATATAATAACACAATTAATTATATTTGTACTTGTAATAGTACACATGAATCTAGTTTTGTGCCTCATCTACTTAAAAAATTATACACACATTTAGATTTTTCACTCAAATAAATTACCTTTTGTAGTTTAAGTGCAAACTAATCACTACAGAAAGAACGTAAAAAATATAAACTTTCTAAAATGTTTCATCTTGAAATTAAAATTTTAAATCTAAAATGACATTTAAAGAAATGTCTATCTAACTTTTACTCTGAGCAATTCCTCTTGATTTTGCCAAAAATTAAATTTTATCATTCTTTCCACTTCCTGCTGTAAGCCAACTGTAATTTTTATGAACCTAATTTCTGTGAAAATGTTTACAGGACATATAACGACTCACATTCTAACTGTTAGAGTCATTAAGCCAATCAGTATTTGTTATGTTGCACTACTTTACTTGACTTTCAGATCTACAAAACTGCCGCTTGGATCTCAGAAAAAATGTTGAGTGCAACGTCATTGGCATTCTCCACTGCAGTGCAGTCTACAGACCTGAGGTGAACAAAGAACTCACCCACACAGATCTACTGTAGAACAAGAAATATGATTCATCTAAAGTTCAAGTGGAAAATGTTTGTACAGAAACAATCCCAATCAATCATGTGTCAATGCAGTGGAATATGACACTGGTAACAAACAAGGTGTAAACTTACATATATATGTTACAGTGAACTCTTATTTGCTAATGCCCTTTACTGTTTCTGTATTTTATTTTCCACAGCTTTAAATATTTCATGCACCAAGATATTTCAGCATCTATGAAAGTTCATATATATGTTTTTAAAGCTTCACAGCCTCTAATTAATTCTACTGTATTATGTCTTCAGTTACTGAATCTGCAAGTTTAGATTCCAATGTAGATAAGTCCTCAAAACGTGAACTATAAGAACTGTGAGGAGGTTCACCAAACACTACTAACAACAAAGTCTGTTAATTCATTGGCTTCCTGTGGTTTCTTCACATTTCAATTAGTGAAAAGTGATAAGACTGTATCTGTACTCTCTTAATTTTTAGTTAGTTTTTTATTTACAAAACAACTGAAGGGAACTAAATAAAAATTTAATCTAAAAGCAACCACTACACATACAATCATCCTTGTGATCACAACACCTCTCTCACAAATTTAAAAGGAACACTAATAACACTATTTTAACTGCTTCTTCTGCTTTTGATAAACTTCTGGAGTTTATTCAGTTCCAACCATTCACAACTCTCACATTTTCAATAATAAAATCTCTTTCCTGTTTTTAATGTCGAAGTCATAAACAATGAATTAGAAACCTCTGTCTACTACAAACTTATAGAGAGCCAACATTTTCTAAAAAGTGAATATTTTCTGCCTGTCCAAAAAGCCATTTTTTAAGATTCAGAAGAATACTTTTACTAATTAAAGATTTCACAATAACATATGAAGTATGTCAAGAGTTTAAAAAGTAAGTCATTTTTAAATTGAAATTTACTACTCTTGGTTAAAGAAAGCAATACAATATCAGATATAAAAATATGATTTTACAGATGTCATTCTACTCATTTTGAATCATTGTACCTCAAGTTCATAATCTAAACTGCTTTTTCTAAAGCAACCTTTGATTTGTCACAAATATATAACAAGATCAGAAATTTTTTAACTCTTTCATTGCCATATTTATTGATATTCATTGATGGTACAAAATTTCCAAACTCACATGGCAGTATATGTCCATTGTAATGAAAGAGTTAATATACCATAAATATAAATCTATAAGAACATGGCATGAGTACAGGCAAAATCAGAAATTGTCACTAAAGTATCAATCACAAAAACTACTGTACATTCATACCAACACAGATGTGAATGAACCAAAATTTACTTATAAAATCTGAGGAGTGTAAATTAGCAAATCTAATGTTTTGATTATTGTACCTTCTGCATTAGACATATTATGTTTTATAATGCTGACATATTAACTCTCTTGCTACCAGGTCAGTTGATTTGACTGACCTCGTAACCATTTTGTACCCATTACAGTTTCCATACTATAACCTTTAATACACTTTGTGTATCTTCACAAAATCTGGCAGACTTTAAGTAAACATTAGAAATCTTTTGTACACAAAAAATCATTATTAATAAAGTATGTTTACTAAAGATTTGTCTGTATTTCTGTACACTAGTCCAAGTGCGAAGTGATTTCCACATAAGACTAAAAATACTTTTCCTTGTCTCAAATTTCACAATGTATAATCTCTAAAACATCCTAAATAAATTTCAAACGTTTTTTTTTTCAATATTATTTTCTCTAATCTAAGGTTGATCAATTTGACTGACCTCCTAACCACCAGAAAAAAGGAAATAAATCTAAATTACCCTTTCTTTTCTTTCTTGAATTACTCCAAATTGTAGTATGAAACTAAATTTGTGTATCCTAAATAGTTTTAAACTCATAAATATGTATTTATACTTAAATTGTATTGTTTTATTGCCCTTTGAACCCTATCTAACTACTGTTTGTGCCATTATAAGTTATAAATCACTTGGTGAACATGCAGCTCACGTTACGCTATTGAATTACATTACTTGGAAGCTGCTTGCAAGTGCACCTCATGGAAAATTTATATCAGTTATGAAAAAAAAAACATCTTTGTGTGTATGCAAGTTAAATTATTCATACAATTCAGTATGAATCTGTGACTGCACAAAATGACTAAAGATAATACCAAATTTCAAGGCTACAGTATCAATCCCCTTTGGGAAACACAACTGTTTCCATTACAGTTAGTAAAATCTTATTAAACCTACAAATAATCCATTTCTAATTGGATAGAATTTCAACATTTGGTATATAAAACAGTGTTAATACTACAAGGCATGATAAACATATTCTAACATTTAACAACCAATTACCAAAACCAAAAATAATTATTAACCAAATGTCCTGTATAAGATAAGTTGGTATCTGACATTTTTATGAGTATATCTGAACACAAAACAGATGTTTTATCTAATAAAACTGAAAAATTTAAGAGTTATTTTACATTAATCTGTAATGTACCACACAACTAAAATCACATATTAATGTATTCCTCTTCGTTTATTAATTTAATTATCTGTTTTTTAATTCAGTCTTTATATCATGTAATTATTGTTCATTGTTTCATTTACCCTTGCATAGAAAATTATCAGAAATTATTATCACAGACGTTTATCAGCAATCAAAATATTTTGAAAGATGTAAATTTAAGGTAACAAATATTACAATATAAACAGACAAAAATTAAATCAATTAAAATTTTTATTCTAAATTCATGTTCCTAATAATATAATTTCTTTCCATAAGATATGTCCTTATTTCTTGCATTTTTTACACCTTGTCCTTATTACTGTATTTTCTTTTACGTATTTTTAATTTTACTGAAGAGTTGACTTTACAAATTTGGTCAAGTTGTAGAAAATAAAATTCTTATGAAGTAACATACATCTCAACTTTGAAAAACAACAGGTTGTTTCATGTTTTTGAGATGTCTGGCCTTCAATTGAGTAACACTATATTATTAATTTAAAACAATCTTGACTATCATACATTTTGGAAGATAAAAGTAACATGCATGCAAAATGGGAGCAGGATGCGTAAGTACCACAAACTAACACTCCAGCTGAAAGTAAGCTCTAATTAACAATTATATTTGTAACATTAAAAAAATTACCATTCTTCATGACTTTGGCAGCAAACTCAGGTGGTTCTTGAAGCTGTTTCCATGATGATCCTCTTTGTGTATAATTACTGATGAAAGATACCCATTCCACCACTGACACAAAATATCCACTCTGGACAAATAATTTCAAAACATATCATAATATGCCTCTTAATATTAACTCAACAATACTCTAATTACCGAGTATTTACAATACTCAACCAAAACAAAGAACTATCCTAAACAACAATTAAACTCTGTACAGGAAAAGAACAACAGCCTTACATATTATTATGAATATTTTGATTTATTGTGTGGCATTCAACTTCTATACTATAAAGTGGTTTCTGTTTGTAAGTCTGTCTGTTTATCAGTAATTAAAATTTTACAATTTTCATACCTCTGAACAGTATGTATTATTAGGATATTTTTGGTATGCCACAGAGGGATTATAAAATCCCTTACTTTATTCATTTCCTCATTTTTACAAATTTGCCAGCCATTCATTTAAATTTTCCCTATTGCTACTGCCTTATCACTGGTGAATAATGCCATCCATACCAGTCCAACAAAATAAATGCCATGCCTGACATGGGTACCTTTTGTAGTAAGATGAATGAAACAAGTGCTGCAGCAGCAGCTCTCTTACCTTTAGCTCCAATTTTCAGTTACAGTAAGATGCAGTATTAAAACTCTTACAACTGTTTCATTACTATACTCTGTATAGAATTGAAACTCAGTTTCTGTTTTTCAGGTTATAATTATGGAATTACGTTTTTTAAAAATAGGAAATACATACATATATATATAAACCTATTTTATAAACTAAATATTTCCTTTAATGACATTACTAAGGCTAATCACTCTTTAAAAGAAAAATGTACAAGGTCCCATGCTGATCTTTGAACTTCTTTCTCAACTGTTTATCATATTCATCCTTTTGGCCTGAGTAATACTGCAACTAGTATTGTAACTAGTATTTGCAATAGACAGTATGGTCATTATTATTTCACGTATTCTGTAAAAATTTTCTTCAGCCTCTCCACTGTTTGTGAGCATTGGTTTCCAAGACCACAGTTAAGGAAATAACTGAACAAAAACGTTCACTGCAACTACTTCTGAAAACTTCAATGTAATTGGACAGGACTTCTGTGATTTCAGTTCATCAGGCCATCTTTCTCACAAAAAACAACTGTTAATTTTAAGGTGTAGCTGGAAATTTGTAATGCACTTTAGGCTTGTGAGTCTTTATCATCTTGAAATCCTTGTTTATTTTCTTGTTCACAGTATCATGAGATATACTAAGCTTCCTTGCAATGATTGGAGGGCTTCTTTTGTAAATGTAGACTCCAGCGGTATGTTCATCCATGGCAACACTGCACTCTTTTTGCAGTATTAGTATAAACGTTGACATCATTGTTCATATTTTAGTGACTGTTATATATATTTATATAAGATGTATGTATTTCCACTGTCAGAATGTGTGTCTGTTATTGACTTGTAGTAGTGTTTGAAGTGGTAAAGTTGTCATTTATGTGAGTGTTCGTGGGAATGTTAAAAGTGTCAACAATACATCAGGTCATTTTACTTGATATAATGAATTTTTTCACTAGAATTTATGTTCTTTTTGAAAACTTTATTTGGGCATTTTGCCTATGCTAACACAGTGATGGTGTAGTGCAACCTGTGAAATCATGAGCTGTATGCCTGGTATTTAAGTATTTAATTTACAGTAAAATCTCAACTGTTTGTTTTTATGTATGTTTGCAAAACTAATTTATCTGCAATAACTATATAGATATATAAAAAAAATTAAAATTCATGTTGTAACTTCTACTTTCAAAGACACATATGCCTTTGAAAAACCAGTTGGATGCTAAAAAAGGGTTCTTGAGCTCTCATTGACATATTAGAAAGTAAAAAATAAATGAGGAAGTTTTAAGACAGAAAATATGTTCTTTACTCTTATCTAAAAAGGGCATACACTTGCATGCACATTATAATGAGATTCTGAAATTTTGTAGGCAAATCTATGTTGACCCTGCAATGCAAAATTTTAAGAAATGAAAAAGAATAGCCAAATGTATTTTGATAAAGTATAATGCCTTCTTTGCAACTATTGAGATCTTCAGGCTTAGCATTCAAAAACAGAGCTACCGAGGGTTTGTTCTTCCTAATTTAGGTTTCTGTTCCCTCTTATGTTGATTGCTTTTGACATTTAATTTTTATTTGTTATTTAGTTAAGTGACCATAATTATTTTTATGCTGCATAGAAAACCAAAGAATCTCTCAAGTTTTAATATTCTTAGTCACAAAAATGTGTATTTTATATAGTTATATATATAAATTATAAACAGAATCCTGTTATTAAACAATTCATTAGAAAAGCAGATTTATAAAGTACTGTAACCTACCGGACTAATAAGACACCACAGCATTCCTCTTCCAATATTGTCAATTATAACATCAAGCTGAAACAGACGTATCAATCTTGAAACACTCCTACAGAACATTTGCACATCTTATAAATATATGCTTAAACATGTAGATCAAAGCCATGTAAGTAATCATTTAACTATATACAAATCTCATCACAACAGAACTGCTATAAAATACACAAAACTGTACATTTAATTAGAAAATTTAATTGAAGTTCATTAAGATATTTAATAAACCATTTAAATCCCAAACAAATACCCTCCCTCAAAAAAAAAGAAATTTTTTAACATTGATTTGTGTGATATCTTTACATCAGTTACTGAATTCGATGACGAGGAACCCACTTTGAGACTAATAATGGCTGGAGACGGCTTAAATGGGTAATGAAGAAAAACTTTAATATAAGTTTAACATGACAGCAAATGTAC